AAATGACATACAGTGTAATTTCCTCTTAAAAAAATTTACTCGCCAGTTTAATTTAATAGTAAACCCAGAATAGCCCTATATTAATAATCATAATACCTAAATGACGAACAAAATCACTTATATCCTTAAACTAAGGCAGTTATAGTTAATAAACTTTCTTGTGAAATCGTAACATACATGCTCTTTCACTTTGTAACGTAATATTTTTCTGTCCTTTAAATAAGGCAATGGCTTGTGTAAAAACGCAATAGCATGCTTTTCTAACGAGTGTGGAGTGATAGAGCTTACTTGAATTCTCAAAAACAAGGTGAATCACTTGCATTTTGATTGCTTGATTTCCACATTGTTTTTTATTCACTCCTTAATCAGAAACTCGATCACAAAGAAAGAAGTTTGATGTTTACAACCCAAATAGCACTTTTGGAGATATAAAACTTCCAAATCAAGTCATCAACCTTGTGTGTTTCTCTCTCTATATTGCCATACGAATTTTGCATATATGTTATGTGGTTTTGGTGGAGTGGGTGTATATGGAAGTTATTGATTAATGGACGTTAAGTTTCAAATTTAGCCCCTGTTTGAGCCACATTAAAAATCTCATTTTTCTACTCATTTTCAACAACACATTTTTCAATTAAATAATAATTCTCATCACATCAATAACTTTTCTTTCTTTTTCAACCACACATTCTCCATCAATCTATTATGCCAAAATACATTATTTCAAAATAATGTGGTTCAGACACACATTTTCAACTCTTCCCTCCAAAATCCATTTCCATGCAAACAGGGTTGGGTCAACCCACATGGGCGACCCAATTTTCTTTCAACATCTTCCACTCGGATATGATAGGCTTGAACTAATGCTAATATAATATCAATTATATTAATCTCAACATCCCTAAGTTCATACAGGTAAATAAATCGTGTGACTAACGAGTTAATTTAAGAGCACACAATATTATACTCCTGTTAGAGATACGTATGGCAGCTTTACTAGAGGAAATATATTTTTCGTTATACCCTAAACATATTTTGTAAACTAGTTCGTGTATTTTTGACCCCTCAATTAATCAAAGAACATACTCAACTTTCTCATTTATATTGTATTCATAATTGTGTTGCAAAACTCAAATAATTAACACAATTGCCCGGTCTATGAATACAATTTGGGGTGTTACATAAAATAGTCTTCCCTTTCTACTTGAATCCCTTAATTTCAAGTCGGTTGCTTTCCTAGATATATCACATTAAACCGAATCAACCATAATTATTGACAACATGCTACAGTATCAACACATAAATTTTTTTTTTTTTTTTTTATCAAAAACGGTTAAAAGTCATAAAAGTATTTAAGAGAGGTCATATGTGCCTAGGAGACTCACACAATGAAGAAGTAGGGATCAATTCTTTCATTTTTTATTGGTCGTTAAAATATACGTGGTATGAGACGTGTTACGGTGCTTTTTCCCTGTATGTTTAATCTTACAAATCAAACATACAGTGCACATAATAGTTCAAATATCACTCGATATCTAATCTGAGTTTTCCTTATATTTATTCCACTAGGCAATCTCAATCGTGAACTCGATCTGGTTATAGAACGTGTCTAATGGATAGCAAAATCTATTTCGATTACTTGTTGTAATCTCACCTTGATGTCACAACATGATCACTGTGTCTCATCTCAACACACTCCAAAGTGCCAGGGGTGATTGTACATGTGAGTGAATCAATCTTAACCTGTTTAACATACTTTATTGTGCATATTAAACAGTAATCTAATAATCACAACAAAAAAATTACCCTTAACATACGAACTCAAAACATTATTCATTAATGGACTTATAAGAAAAGTTTATATAATAAATAATTCAAATTCTACACGATCCTGGAGATTTAACATTAGTTACAAAGAACTCCTAGGAATTGGTTTAGTTAATGGATTAGCTACTGTTACAGGCCTTTAGAGGCCCNTGTTACAGGCCTTTAGAGGCCCTCCACCTCGTCCATCTACCTCATCCGCCACATGTTGGACGAATTGATTCCATTAACCCGAGCTGAAACGCTACTACCCCACCCTGAGAAGAGCCAAACTCATCTGTCATACACGGCAGATGCAAAGGCCCGCACTCCACATTCATTGTACCTCACATCCACCTCGCCACGCCTATACCAAGATCTTATATGAGGAGATCTCTCCAAAATCAAATCCTTAGGAAGATTAATGGGACTGTGACAGGCTCCAAACGGTCAACTCACGCTGCTATGTCAGGAAGCATTTAATACTCGCCAACCTATAAATTGACAGATTGATGCCTATGAAAAGATGACCACGTGTCCCCCATCAAGCGGTTCTCATTTCGGTCTTCCTTAGTGTAAATACTCATATAATATGGTAAGAGGGGGAATCTTTGCTTTCTAGCCTTTTAACTCTAAGAACCTTTCACTATATTTACACATATTCTTAACCACATCCTCGTGATCACTTCACCGCCGGACACCACTACCTGGTTGACTGAAATACTGACTTGACCGTTGGAGTGCTCGCCGCCGCTTCAACCTCCAACGAAAAAGGCCACGAGTGACAAAACGTGTGCTACCGTACGCAGGGAGGAGAATACATGAAGACTTATTCTGTTGGCCAGGTGTCGGAGCCATTTTTCGAGGTCAACAGAATGGTGCCTTCTGTGGGAACTATACTGTAACCACAAGTATCCCCACGAAAGAAAAAGCTTCTTGGAATATTTGGTCGATATTCCCCCCTTAAAAAGGGATTTGTTCTTGAAGAATGAACAAGTGGAAGCCATAAACCAAGTCTTTGTTATTTGGAAGAAGAGTTTGCAGCTCAAGCCAATGAGTTCCAGCAATGAAGAAGTGAACCCGAGTGGGTAAAGGAGATCTCTGAAGAAGAGATCATCCAGATAATGTCAAGTACCAAAGGCCCATCATCGGTATCGCGGGGTGGAAGAACTGTTGCCCGACTAACTGCCGA